AAAAACAACACTCTTAAGTGATTTGAGCTAAAGAAATAAGTAAAGCTATCTATTGAGCAAAGCTCACAACAGTTTTTCTTTTTTTTATTAATTTTTTCTGGTTTTTCAGCAATCACTTCTGTAAGCTTTTGAATTTTCAAAATTTCTCCCCTTTCTCCCTACCTTCCTCTCCAAGATGGCACACAATCTGATACAGGCTATACATATACATTCGTATTAAACATATTTTCACATTAGTCATGTTGTAAATAAGAATTAGAACAAATAGGAGGAACCACCAGAAAGAGGAAACAAAACACAATGAAGAAAAAAATAGCAAATAGTATGCTTCAGTTTGCATTCAAACTCCATAGTTCGTTCTTTTTGTGGATAGCATTTTCCATCATGAGGCCTTTCAGGATGTCTTAGATCCTTGTATTGCTGAGAAGGGTTAAGTCTATCAATATTAGTTATTGCACAATGTGGTGTTACTGTGTACAATGTTCTCCAGGTTCTGCTCACTTCACTCAGCATCAGACCATACACGCCTTTCCAGGTTTTTCTGAAGTCAGCCTGTTCATCATTTCTTACAGCACAATAGTATTCAATTACATTCATATACCACAACTTGTTCAGCCATTCCCCAATGGATGGGCATCCCCTCAATTTCCAATTCTTTGCCACCACAAAAAGAGCTGCTACATTTTTGTACATGTAGATCCTTTTCCCATTTGTATGATCTCTTTGGGATGTAGTCCTAGAAGTGCTATTGCTGGATTACAGGGTATGCACATTTTTATAGCCTTTGGGCATAGTTCCAAATTGTTCTCCAAAATGGTTGGATCATTTCACAACTCCACCAACAATGTATTAGTGTTCCAATTTTCCCACATTTTCTCCAACATTTATCATTTTCCTGTTTTGTCATGTTGGCCAATCTGATAGGTGTGATGTGGTACCTCAGAGTTGTTTTGATTTGCATTTCTCTAATCAATAGTGATTTAGAGCATTTTTTCATATGACTATAGATGGCTTTAATTTCTTCATCTGAGAACTGTCTGTTCATATGCTTTGACCATTTATCAGTTGGGGAATGGCTTGTGCTCTTATACATTTGTCTTAATTCTCCATATATTTTAGAAATGAGGCCCTTATCAGAGACAGTAGTTGTAAAAATTCTTTCCCAATTTTCTACTTTCCTTCTTATCTTGGTTGCATTGGCTTTGTCTGTGCAAAAACTTTTCAGTTTAATGTAATCAAAGTTATCCCTTTTGCATTTCATAATGTTCTCTATTCCTGTTTGGTCATAAATTCTTCTGTTCTCCCTAAATCTGAAGGTAAACTACTCCTTCCTCTCCCAGTTTGCTTACAGTATCAGCCTTTATATATAAATCATGAATGCATTTTGACTTTATTTTGGTATATAGTGTGAGATTTTGGTCTATGCCTAGTTTCTGCCATACTGTTTTTCAGTTTTCCCCGCAGTTCTTTTTCAAATAGTGAGTTCTTATCCCAGAAGCTGGAGTCTTTGGCTTTATCAAATAATGGATTACTATAGTAATTGACTACTGTGACTTGCATACTTAACATATTCCACTGATGCATCACTCTATTTCTTAGCCAGTATGAAGCAGTTTTGATGATTGCTACTTTATAATACCATTTAAGATCCAGAATTGCTAGGCCACCTTCCCCTGCATTTCTTTTCATTAGTTCCTTTGATATTCTGGACCTTTTGTTATTCCAAATGAATCTTCAAGCAGTTTTTCTTAAGACCAGCCTAGGTTACTCCATCTATTTCTTAGATTTGTGAGAGCAGTTTCACCTTTCTGCCTGGGGTGCTAGCCCAATCAGTGATGTCTCCAGAACCTAATTTAGTAGAAATTGAGGACTCTTGCCAACCCAGTCTCAGGGCACATGTACATGCCCATGTCTGGCATTGCCCCTGCTTTGTTGTTGCCACCCCTTTCTGACATGGATTTTGAAGGATTTATCATTATCACCAAATGTTACCCACAATTTCCTGGACTTACCACTTAATTGGCGGCAAACTTGAGGATGTCATTTTTAATAGACATCATATCCAAGATACTCAAAGTCTCCAAACTACAAGAAATGAAAAATCTGACAAAGTATAGAGACCTGTCATTTGGGAACAGAAGGGGCTAGTCATAGTTATTTTCCTGTCTGCTAAGAGTTATGCCAAGCACGCTTTCTGTGAGCCTACAGAGGATGAGTGGACACTCCAGTGCTTTTAGTGCACTACAACAAGTTATTTTTATTGACCTGGACACTTGTCTACACAATATTACATATAAAAGGAAAGCAGGAAAGTGACTTCTTCCAGGACAATTTCCATATGAAAGCCACTGGAGTGGATGGGCAGAATAAGATACTAATAAGGACAGAGCCTGGACCTGTGCGTATAGGGAACTCCCAGAAGGGAGAAGTCCCTTTACCAATACAGGTCAGCACTGTCCCTTTAATTTAGTCTTCAAGTATTGCCAGGGCAGTATTCTCCAAGCCTTTTTGATTGTTTTAAAATTTTGCACTCAAGTCTATATCTGAATGTTTATTCATAAATTAAAGACATGTCCTTTGTTGCTGTTTAGTCATTTTCAGTCATATCCAACTCTTTGAGACGCCTTTTAGGGTTTTCTTGGCAAAGACATTGTAGTGGTTTGTCATTTTCTCCTCCAGTTCACTTGACAGATGAGGAAAGTGAGGTAAACAGGTTTAAGTGACTCACCCAGGGTCACACAGGTAGCAAATTTCCACTTGCCACCTCACAGTACTTTTTCATGTATAAAATGCATACAGAAATATAAATTTAAAAGGATGAGATAAAAATGAGATCCTAATGATCCTTATAGTCAATAGGGAGCCATTGGAGTTTATTGAGTAGAGGAGTGACACAGTCAGATCTGTGCTTTAGCAAGTCACTTTGGCAGCTGAGGGGAGGATAGCCTGGAGGAGGGAGAGAATGAAGGCAGGGAGACCAATGAGGAGGGTATTGTAAGAGTCTGGGAAAGAAATGAGGAGGACCAGAGTTGGGGGTGTGTTGTGGTGGGGGTGACTTTGTGAATAGGGAGTAGGGGGGAGATTCATGAGACACCGAGAAATAAATGATAAGATTTGGCACTGGTTGGCTACACTGCATAAGTGAGAGTAAGGAGTTGAGAGTGACACCAAGGTTGTGAGCTGGAGTTACTGGGAGAATGCTGGTGTCCTTGAAAGTAATAGGAAGATTTTGATGAGGGGAGGGTTTGGGGAACAGATAATGTAATGAGTTCTGCGATGCAAACCAACCCCAACCCAAATGAAAAGTGTGTCTAGGGACATCTGACTTCCTTAGCCACCAACCCAAATAGCAGATTCTGGAATCTCAGGGCACCTGTAGAAAAGTCGTCTGTGGGAGCAGGTGTGGGTGTACTCAGGGAGAGGGGTCAGGGAATTTTGCCTTTAGGTGCCAGGGTTCCCTTTGTCTTAAGACTTTAGAGAATGAATCTGGCCCAGACAGGAAATGCTAGGAGTGAGAGGGGGCAAAGACAGGGGGATACTGGAGTTGTTTTGGCAACAACCCCACAATTGACTATGACAGGAACCTTGGGATGTGACCAATCTTCCTGCCTTTTGCTTGCATTTATGGTATGGTCCCCTTGGTGTCAGGCTTATAGCATCAAAAGTCAAGACTTTGCCCAGGTTCTCACAGTCAGTTTATCAGTGTCAGACCTTGAACCCAGATCTTCTTCTTCTTGGCTCGAGCTATCTAGCCATGTTGTCTCATTCTTATAATTATTGTCAGTATAATAAATGTATTTGTTGCCCTTTTCATTAATAGCCAGAATTTATATAGCATTATAAGATTTTCAAAGTGTTTTATATCATGTCATTTATTTAGAGGGGAATTATACACACCTAAAGATAAAGATAATACCCAATATACTTGATAGATGCATTGATAAGGGAGGACAAAGGGCCACAGGAAGAATGACCTGCCAGAAGCACACTGATAAACTGGAGAATGGCCAGAGGAGGCAGCAAGGATGAGGAAAGACCTTGAGACCAGACACTGGAGGAGCCATTGAATGAAATAGCAATGCTTAGCCTGGGGAAGAGAAAGCTCAGGAGAGCTGTGTTCAAGTATCTGAAAGGCTGCCATGGGGAGGAGGGATAAGCTTTGCTTTGCCAGGTCCCAGGAGGTGGGGCAATACAGGGAACGATGGGGTAAAGTTGCAAAGAGGTCAATTTTGGCTTGAAGAATTTCCTGACATCAGTGAGCACTGTCCCAAACAGGAAGGGGCTGCCCCCAAGGGAGGTGGGATGGCAGGCTCTGCCCCACTGGGGACCTTTAAGCAGAGGCTGGAGGTTTTAGAGGTGATCCTTGGTCTACTCCATAGAGAGGGGAGAGTGGCTAGGCTGTATTCTGAGGACCCCTTCCTATGAGCTCCATTTGACTTCCTCTTGTCCAGGGAGGCACAAGCTGCTGTAGGGTCAGGAGAGTTCTGACTGGTCAACACTGGGGACCCAAGTAAGAGTTTAATTCTGGGGGCACTGCCCCCCTCAATTTAATTCTGCTGGTAGAAGGAGCCTGGAGGGACCAATCTTTGGTCTACATGCTTGCTCCCTAATTTACCCTCCCTTCTGTTCCTGGAAAGCACTCCCCCTTTCCCCTCTGCAGCCATTCAGACAGACATTTCCTTTAATGGGACACCAGCTGGGCGAGCTTCCAGGTTCCTTCATCCCCTGACCCCCAGAGAACAGAAAGACCCTCTCTGCATGCCCTGGATACTCCCCTCCCCTGCTTTGCCCTTCTTCCATTCCCCCTCTGGATTCTTCCCTCCTCTGCCCTGCCCTCCTTTTCTGCCCTCCCCTTGGCAGCCTGGGGCTGATCATTAACGCGGATGACAGACAGAGCCCTCACCAGGAGTCATAAAGGGGTGGGCAGCAAGACCAGGGATGGTATCAGATGGTATTTCTGTCAGTGAGGGTGGGCCTGCCTCAGCGAGGAGAGGACACAAGCTGCTGCTGCCACCATGGACATCACTGTGAGCCCCAGTGTCTCTGCTGGGATCCCCGCACCTCCCCACCCATCGGACCATATCAAGAATGCAGCAGACATCTCAGTTATTGTCATCTACTTCATGGTGGTTCTGGCTGTGGGTCTGTGGGTAAGTGGGGTCCCAGGCAGAGGGCAAGGCTGGGGATTCATGGGGAGAAGAGGGGATAGCAGGGAGGAGGCAAGGGGACTCAATTTGGAGCTCTCTCACTTACTACAAAGCTTATTACCTGTGGGACAAACCCTTTCCTCTCTCTGGGCCTTGATTTCCCCAACTGTAAAATGAAAGGGACGTCTAATGTCCTGATGCCCCTTCTATCTGTAACATTCCATGTTCTGAAGTCATCATGCTTGGATACCCTCTGTCTAAAGTACCTTCCAGCTCTAATAGTTAGGGAGTCCATTCTTTGACAGTGGAGTTTTAGGAAGTGTGACTGGAGGTGGGGAAGCTGAGGCAGTGTCATCAATTTATTCCAGAGGCAGCTGAACAACTGTCTCCTTCTCCTTCCCTCAACAAGGGACAGGACAAGGCATTTGATATGCCAGATCAATGAGGAGAAACAGAAGAAAAAAGGGTCCTGTCTCTAAGCATTCAGCAGGATGGAGTAGAAAGACCTATACAAGAGTCTGATCTTCTGATTGCAACTCTGTGGGACCTTTAACAAGTCTCTTCCCCTCCTGGAGTCTGTTTCCTCATGTATAAAATGGAGGATAATCTCTTCTATGCCATCTATCTTGCAAAGGAAGGGTTTCTGTAAATCACTGAGCTTCATAGAAATGGCACATGCCAAAGTTTCTCCTTCAGGCCTCAGTTCCCTCTTCTGTAAAAGGAAGAAGAGAAACCATGCTCTTCCTAGTGAGATGGGCTGGCCCTACAAAGTGGTGGATTCTGTCTCACCGGAAGTCTTTAAATGAAGGTGAAATGACTGCTTAGGATATAGATTTATGAATGGACTTCAGCAGTCATCTACTACAAACCCCTCATTTTACTGATGAGGAAACTGAAGAGGTTAAGTGACTTGACTAGAGTAATAGATAGTAAGTATCAGAGCTGGGATTTGAACCTAGGTCCTCCAACTGCAAATGTAATGCTCTTTCCACATCAAAGCAGAACTGTCCCATTTTTACCATGGATGGATACCTGGAGGGTGGAATCTGCAGGCAAAAGGTGCTGCATCCTCATTTATGGCTCTCAAGCTCCTAAGCCATCATGTATCACATGGTACAGACAACCTCTCACTTACTTGCCCTCAGGTGAAACCTCTTCAGCCCTCTCATCACCACCTGTCTCAGGCACGCCCCTTCAAAAGTCCCTTGCATTCTCCTGTCTGATCTCCTTCCTCCTCCCATTCTATTGTTTACAAACTCCCCTTGATCCCAGATTTATTCCTATTGCCCTCCTATCTTCAGGCCTATACAGAGACCTGGCTCCTCCTCCTTTCTTTCCCAACCCCAAGTGACCCTACATGTCTATTAATTCTTTCCAGGGGTAGATGAACCTTCCCTGCCTCTCCCAGGAAACTGGTCCTGGAGGAAGAATGGAAATACTCCTTCCTCCCTATCAGTACTTCCAGACCCTCCCTCTGCCACTATCTCTCAGCTACCTCTACTCCTTTGCTATTTATACAACGAATCCCTTCCCCCCATTCAAAGCCTGGCCAACAGTTACCAACTGGCCCCCAGGAGTCCAGCACCTGGCTCGAGGTCCTCCTCTCCACATCATCTTTGCCCTTATACTTGGGGACTTCAACATGCATGTTAATGGCCCTTTGAATAGCATGGACAATCTGGTCACCAGCCTTCTCTATTCCCATGACCTGCTCTATTCCACACAAGACTGTCACAGTATCATAGATGAGGAATTGGAACAGAGCTTAGAGACCTGTAAAGTTCAACCCCTTCATTTTACACATCAGGAAACAGGTTGAGAGAAGTTAAGTGATTTGTCCAAAATCACACAATAGTGATCACACTAGTATTATTACACAAGTTTTCCACTTTCAGGTTGGACAATTCTGAAATTCACTATGTGAGACTAGCACCGGTTATAAGCATCTCTCTCTTTGTTCCTCACTCCACCTAATTCTATTCCTCATCTTCTCCACTACATCCAGGCCCTTTGACTGCTTTGGCTTCCCTTTTCTTCCTTTCAATTCTTTTATAAAAATTAATGCTTAATTTCTCCCCATTACATGTAAAAACAATTTTTAACACTGATTAAAAAATTTTTTGTCATCCAAATTCTTGTCTTCCTTCCTTTCTCTCTCCCCTCCCCCCTCATTGAGAAGGCAAGCATTTTGATATAGATTATACATGGGCAGTCACGCAAAATATGTTTCATGTTAGTCTTGTTGTGAAAGAAAATGCAGACAAAAAACCCTAGTAAAATAAAGAAAATGTGTGCCTTGATGTGCATTCAGACTCCATCAATTCTTTTTCTGTAAGTGGAGAGCATTTTTCATCACATCTTCAGATTCATCTTGGAGCATTGTATTGCTGACAATAGCCAAGTTATTCACAGTTGATCATTATGTAATATTTCTGTTACTATATACCACATTCTGGTTCTGCTCATTTTACTTTGCATCAGGTTCTTCTTTTCAGGTTCTTCTGAGAGCATCCTGCTCATTATTTCTTATAGCACAATTGTATTCCATCACAATCACATACAATAACTTGTTTAGCCATTTCCCAATTGATGGACATCTATTCCTTTCTAATTCTTTGCCACCACTAAAAGAGCTGCTATAAATATTTATGTGCATCTATGTCCTTCTCCTTTTGTTTTTTATCTCTTTGGGATATAGACCTAGTAGTTGTATTTCTTGGTCAAAAGGTATGTGTATTATTCTGGAGAATGGTTTAATCACTTCATCAATGGCACATTAGGGTTTCAATTTTCCCACATCCCCTCCACCATTTGTCATTTTCCTTTTCTTTGATATTAGTCTGATAGTTGTAGGTCATAGCTCAGAGTTGTTTTAATTCGCATTTCTCTACTCAGTAGTAATTTAGAACATTTTTTTTCACATGACTATAGATAACAGATTACTTTGTCTGAAACTGCTTGTTCATATTCTTTGACCATTTGTCAATTGAGGAATGGCTCTTATTTCTATAAATTTGATTCCATTCTCTATATTTGAGAAATGAAGTCTTTATCAGGAAATCTACTGTAAAATTTCTTTCACAGTTATTATTACTGTCTTTCTCTCCACCCTATTTTTCCCTATTTATCCTACTCTCTCTTTCATCCTGCCCATTCTCAAAAGTGTTTTGCTTCAGACTTTTACCTCCCCCCAATCTTAACTCCTTTCTATCAGCCCCTCCTTACCCCTCTCCACTCTTACTTTCCTATATGGTAAGATCGATTACTATACCCAACTGAGTGTGTATGTTACTCTGTTGTTGAGCCAGTTCCCATTGGAGTAAGACACACATGCTCCCTTCTCCCTTACCCCATCTTCCCCTCCTTTGTAAAAGCTGTTTTGTACCTCTTTTACGTGAAATAATTTACTTCATCCTATCTCTCCCTTTCTTGTTCTCCCAGTGCCTTCCTCTTTCTCATCACTTACTTTTTTTTTTTACAGGTAATTATCCCATCCTATTCCACTCACATCCATGTCCTCTGTCTATGTATACTCCTTCTAACAGCTCCAGTGGTGAAAAAGTTTTTAGGAGTTACAAGTTTCATTTTACCACATAGGAATATAAACAGTTTAACCTTATCGAATCTCTTATGGTTTCTGTTTCCTGTTTACCTTTGTATGCTTTTCTTGAGTCCTGTATTTAATTTATTATTTTTTAAGTTTTAAAATTTATTTAAACTTAAATACAAAATAAGAAAACAAAACAAAACATTGCCATGCATATAGCAAAACACAAGAGAGGATTCAATATAAAACAATAAATTGCCATTTCAAGAAAACCTATATAAGAAATCCCACACATTATTTTCAAAATTGTCCCTTTTTTTTTGCTTCCCTGTAAGTTTTCTTTTGTCTACTGCTGTGCACTTTTTACTTTATTATTTCCCCTTTCCTACCCCTGCCCTGCCAAGAAGGCTACAAATAAGCATGGACATATTTGTCTGTGTATGTATGTATATGTGTGTGCGTGTGTATGTATATATATATACATATACATAGATATTCATAAACATACATGTATATGCACACATACATTCATACATATATGTGTAAGACTGTGCTATGCTTATTTTCACCTGTCATATGTTTCTCTGAAGGTGGATAACATCTTCCTTCATAAGTTCAAGTTATTCCATATTTTTCTAAATGCAACCAGATCATCATTTCCTACACCACAACAATGTTTTGACCCAGTTACATTCTATCTGAGAGATTGTCTATGAGAATTTTTTCCTCCAATTATCTGCATTACCTCTATTCTTGGCTACATAGGTTTTATTTATAGAGGAAAATTTTGATTTAAACTAATCAAAATTGTCCATGTTACACTTCAACACTGCTCTTACCTTACAATATGGTTTAAGGTATGATATTATCGAATCTAGTTCCTTCACATCTTACCCCCATGGTTTCCTAGAAGTTCCTGATCCTCTGCTGTTCCAGATGAACCTTGTTATTATTTTTTTCTGACTTAGTAAGATAATTTTTAAAAGAAATTTAGTTGAAATGACATTGCAGAGTCTTATTTTTGAAATTCAGATTTTCTATTCAGCTCTGGTCTCTTCATCAGGAATGCTTGAAAATCCTCTTTTTATTTATATATTTATATAGTCCTTTTTCTATTTATACAGTCCTCATTGAATATAAATTTTCCCCACTTACTGGGTAGGTGATTCTTCATTGTAATCCTAGACCTTTTGCCTTCCAGAATATAATTTTCAAAGCCCTCCAATCCTTTAAAGTCAAAACTGCTAAACCTTGTGTTATTCTACTTGTGGCTCCATGATATTTGAATTGTTTCTTTTTGGCTACCTGCAATATTTTTCCTTGACCTGGATGCTCTGGTATTTGGCTATAATATGGCTGGGAGTTTTCATTTTGGTGTCTCTTTTAGGGGATAATCAGTGGATTCTTGAGTTCCTTTTATTTATTTATTTTTGGCTGGGCAATGGGGTTAAGTGACTTGCCAAGGGTCACACAGCTGGTAAGTGTCAAGGGTCTGAGGCCAGATTTGAACTCAGGTCCTCCTGATTTCAAGGCCGGTGCTCTATCTACTACACCACCTACCTGATCCATTTTTTCTGAATTTTTTAAGGTGTTATTTTCTTCAGTACTTTTTCTTCTTTCTTTACCAAGCTGTTGACTCTTTTTTCATTATTTTCTTGCATCTCTCTAATTTCTCTTCCCATGTTTTCCTCTACTTCTTTTACTTGGTTTTAAAAATCCTTTTTGAGCTCTTCCATGGCCTGAGACCAATTCATATTTTCCTTTGAGGCTTTTCCTGTAGCAGTTTTGACTTTCTTTTCTTTTTCTGAGTTTGTGTTTTGATAGCAATTTTCTATAGTCTGGTTCTTTTTGTGCTGTTTTCTTAATTTCCCAGCCTATGTCTCCACTTTTAATTCTATAGTAAAGTGGGGCTCTGCTTCCAGAATGGAGGGATTATGTCGAGAACTCTTTTTTTGCTCTCAGCATTTCTCCTGGAGTTGTCGGGCAGCAAACACTATAGCAATTATTCCTTGGCCCTTTCTGAAGCCACACTGGCTCTCAGGTAGATGATCATGTTCCAGGTGAAGGATGAGTTGAATAGAAAGGACTCTAGCAAGAATCTTGCCAGTAATTACTAAGAGAGAGACCCCTCTGTGATTGTCACAGGTGAATCTATTTTCTTTACCTCTCCAGAAATAGACAATGGAGACATCCATGAACTACTGGGGGATAACCTCCTCTTTCCATATAACCTGGAAATTTTCTGTCAGCTTTTGTATGAGCAGTGGAATTCCTTGCCTTGTAAATTTCAGCTGGAATGTAATCAGCACCAGGTACTTTGCCACACAAGAGGAACCTGATGGCATTCAAAACCTCTTCTCCAGTTGGAATTTCAGGAAGAGAAAGATTGCCTTCAACCTGAGGTGCACACTAAATGACTTCAGCACTGTTTGGTGATAGTCTGTCGAGAACACTATGGAAGTGTTCAGCCCATTTCTCCAGAATCACATCCTTATCACTAATCAAGGTGGTTGTATCAGCACTGAGTAGTTGAGATGCACCATAGACCTTTGACCCACAAATAGCCTACAAGGCATCATAAAAGCACTTTGGATTGTTATTATCAGCATAAAACTGAATTGCACCTGCCTTCTTACTGAGCCAAGAATCTTGCACCTTTCTAAGCTTTTCTTGTTCTTTCCTTTTGATGGAGTTAAACACTGCCTTCTTAGAGATGAAAGAACTCTTCTGCTGGTAAAGCTTTTGGAGTTCTCATTTTTCACTTCACAGCTTATAAATTTTCTCATGACTTGTATCAAACCAATCTTGATTTTTGTGAGTGTTCTGGCCCAGATGGGTAATATGGTGCCGTACACCAAATTTCTGAAAGGTACCCACTCCTTTTCTGCTCCACAGTTGCCAACTGTGTCCCTTCAAGTTAACAACGAAGTGTTCCAGCTCAGAACGGTGCTCTGACCTGTTGATGTTCAGTCTTCTGGGGGTTGTCTTGTCTTGGGGCCACGATTTTTGAATGGGAATATTTAGCTTGGAGAGGATAAGTCTGTGATCAGTCCCACACTCTGCACCACAAATCGCCTTCATCACTCTCACATCCTATCTGTCTCTTCTCCTGACAATGACATAGTCTATTACATGCCAGTGTGTGCTGTGAGTGTGCATCCACAAAGTTTCATTGCATTTATGTAAGTGGGAGAGAGTGTTGGTAGAGAGCAGGTCATGAGATGCACAAGAATTCAGTAGTAAGTAACCGTTGCTGTCGCTGTGTCTGACTCTATTCCTCGCATGGACTTCCTGCCATGTCTGGTCCATCAAAGACAAATACCATGTAAAAGGAAGGTCCTGTCATAGGGAAGGCTCTAGTTTTGTAAAGGAGCCAAGATCTGAGTCTTGAAAGAGTCCAGGGAAGCTAATAGGAGGAGGCAAGGACAGGAAAAATTCCAGGTGGGGGGAAAGCCAATGAAAAGGTACGGGACTGGGAACTAGATGGTCCTTTTTGAGGAACAGAAGGGAGGCCAGTGTAGCTGGAGAGGAACAAAATCTAAGACAAAAAAGTGTCAGGGGAGGTGGGACAGGTCCTGTAGGTCTTGAAATGCCAAACAGAATACTTTCAATTTTATCCTAGAGGTAATAAGGACTGAGCCACCCAGGCAAAGTCAGATGTCTCCCTGAAAACCTCAAGGGCAATCAATCTTTATTTAATTTAGCTTCACATTTGAAAATCTGATTTTTTTTTAGAGACAAAGGGCTTCTTTCGAAGGCTTTGATCTTTTAACAATACAAATCATTGAAACCTATTTGGAGAGAAAGGAGACCAGCGTTGGGAAGGAGACTGTGCTGGATGACTCCTTCTGAGTTTTTGAATGAAGCCATACTAGGATAGACTGCAGGTTGTGGAATCATAAGGATGTGAGTTCAAATCTGATCACAGACACTTACTATCTGTGTGGACCTGGACGAGTCACTTAACACCATTTGCCTCAGTTTTCTGTCTGTAAATTGATCTGGAAAAGGAAATGGCCAATCACTCCAGTATCTTTGCCAAAAAAACCCCAAATAGGGTCACGAAGTGTCAGACAGGACTAATTGATGAAACAACAAATACTGAGATTTGTTCATAGCACAATATGACTGCATGTTGTTGAGAAGACTCTCCCTTTGCTATTTTGGGGAGTCACCTCTTAGTAGCCTGTGTGCCAATTCTGTTGTGCCTTCATCTCTTATATCTTGTCCTATTTGCTCCTTTGTATGCAGGCCGGGCTGAAGACCAGTCAAGGGTCAGTGGGAGCTTCTTCCTGGCTGGCAGGGACATGGTGTGGTGGCCAGTAAGTACTTACGACTATCCCCTTGTTATTTATTTGAACAGTAGCTTTCTATACCCTCTCCCAAGCTTCAGACTTAGGAGGACCAGATGGGATCTGAAATAAAAAAGAAAGGAGAAAGGCTGGGTTTCCCTTTGGACCTCATCCAGAGCTCAACTCACTTCTCTTTACTGTACTTGTTTAGAATATAAATTCAGTTCAGGGGAAACAAGATGGTATTTTTCTGAGTGACCAGGAGAGGAATAAACATGTGGAAGAGGGGGATGTGCTTGAGAGAGAGGCTCAGTGAGGATTCCATTGGGTTCCATTCTCCTGCTCTGCCCCTTCTTCAGTTTTATTTCTTGTCCAGGATTTTTCAGCCCCCATCAGGGACTCAACAGAAAGATGAATGAAAAAAAGGGGCATATGACAGCTTAGTAGATTAAGAACCAGTGACAGGCAGTAGACTGGCCATGACAGAAAGAAGTCTATTATTATGGTAGAAGGAGGGGGGCCAAGCCATCAAGCATTATTAACATCCCCAAGAAAAGATGGGTTTGAATCTCACCTCTGCTACTGCCTAGCTGTGTGACCCAGGGCAAGAGCCCTCCCCTCTCTGGGCCTCAGTTTTCTTCTCTGTAAAATAAGGCAGTTGGATTAGATATTCTGAAAGGTCCTTCCAGTTCTCAAGTCAGTGATCCTGCATTCCTATAAAAGTCTCTGAGAGTTCCACAGCCTGATAACACCATGTTCTTCCTTTGATTTCCAGATTGGTGCCTCTCTCTTTGCCAGCAACATTGGCAGTTCCAGTTTTGTGGGCCTGGCTGGGACTGGTGCAGCCTCAGGAATTGCTGTTGCTGCACTTGAGACAAATGTAGGTGATACATCCATCACGTATCTCTCTCTCTCTCTCTCTCTCTCTCTCTCTCTCTCTCTCTCTCTCTCTCTCTCTCTCTCTCTCTCTCTCTCTCCCCCTCTCTGGTGTTATTTTAATAACAACAATCCTTTATATTTCTATAACACCATTAAGACTTACAAAGCACTTTCACTCATCAACCTTCTGAGATAGGCTATACAAGTATTATTATCCCCATTTTAGAGATACTGTTTTGTCATCCAGTCATTGTCATGTCTGAATTTTCATGACCCATGGCCCATAATTTTCCAGGCCCTTTTATCCTCCATAATCTCCTGAAGTCTTTTCAAGTTCATGTTCATTGTTTCCATGACACTGTCTATCTGCCTCATCTTCTGCTGTCCCCTTTCTCTTCTGCCTTTAGTCTTTCCCAACATTAAGGTCTTTTCCAATTAGTCCCATCTTTTCATTATGTGGCCAAAGTATTTGGAGTTTTTCTCATAAGCCTACCACAACATACAGAGGGAGAGCTCCTTCTTAACCTAATCTATTCAGCCTGTCAGTCAACAAGCATATATTAGGCCTTTACTGTGTGCCAGGCATTGTGCTGACCACTGAGGTTCCAAAGGAACTAATTTTATTATAAGGAGACAACAGATAGCTCACTAGATCTATACAAAATATATAATGAGTGGATGGAAGGCAGTTGCTGAGAGTATGGCCCTAGTAAGAGTAGGAGAAACCTGGGAGGGAGGAGGCCCATGAAAAGCCTCCTATAGAGTGTGAGACTCTAGGTAAGTCTTGGAAGTCACCAAAGCTCAGAGTTGGGGATGAGAAAGGAGAGTGTTTCTGGCACGGGGGACAAGCCAGTGAAAATGCTTGGAGCTGGTGAATAGGGTATTTTGTGTGACACTGGGCCTGTTTCTTCCACTGTAAAGGAAGGGAGGTGGACCATGTGACCTCTGAAGTGCCTAATAGCTCTTCTTTAAAAATGATCTTCTTTTTATTTTTTAAAAAATGATATCCTTTTTGTTACAGCACCTTCAACTTTCAGTGTGCCTCACCTCCTTCCTCACTCCCTGAACTAGCCATCCTCCACCACCCCCATAATTAAGAATAAGAGGAGAAAATGCTCAGCAAAGCCAAACAACATATCAGCTAATCTGACAGTGTATGCCGTGTTCCTCACCCATAGTACCCCACCTCTTCATTCTCCTATTTGTTTTGGGGAGGAAGGTTGGCCATGTCACCACATTCAGTTGGGATTTTTGTTGTTTTTCCTGTGGGTCTATGATCATCAGGCTTCAGATCCAGTTCTCCCTTCCCTACCTTAGAGCTGCTTCAGTTTGAGGAGCTTCATCCTTTTGGCTTATGGGAGTGACACTGGGCTTTAATCCTTCTGGGCCTCAGTTTCTTCATCCATAAAATGAGAGGATTGCACTAGATGACCTCAAAAATCTCTTCCAGTTTCAGGTCCATGATCTTAGGAGCCAACATTTACAACTGTGGGCAAGTCCTTTCTACACCCTGTGCCTCAGTTTCCTCATCTGTAAAATGAGAGGCTTGGACTCAGTGGCCTCAAGGGACCTTTCCAGCTTTGCAGAGTCATAATTAAGCATAGTGTAAGGAAAAACTTCCTAATAATGAGAATTATCCAGAAGTGAGTCATTCTGCCTTGGGAGGTAGAGAGCTCCCCCTCCCCCCGACTGGAGGTCTCTAAGTACAGGCTGAAAGGGCCATTTGCTAGCAATGTTGGAGCAGCAATTCTTGGTCAGGTCTGGATTAAGTCAGAGATCTCTGAGGTCTCTTTCATTTGACATCCCAGAATTCTGAGTCATCTATGTACCTACCACCCCAAACCCACATGTCCTCTGTTCCACTCCCATAAACCTCCTTCCGAACCCAGATCTCAGGGAAATGACCCTACCGAAAGAATCAACTACCTCACACTAAGGTGCTGACATTTGATCACTTCTAGACTGTTCTAGCTGGATGGCATCAGTTTCTAATCAACTTATTTATTCAGCCAGCTTTTTAAAAAACACCTGCTATGTACCAGGCACTGTGCTATGTGCTGTACTTGTAGAAGCAGGATGAAAACAACCCCTGTCTTCAGAGAGTGTACATTCTACAGGAGCAAAGAACACTCTCAGTTACAAGGATATACGAAGTAAATTTAGGGGGCATCACAGCTGGGAGAGGGAGGAACAAGGCAGGAGGTAGCATTGGCCTGAATAATGAAGGATCCTAGGAATCATCCTTCAGAGACAGAGGTGAAGAGGAAGAACATTCCAGGGATGGAGAAGGACTTGTGCAAGGAGAGAGATGCAACATGGAACATGTGCATGAGATGCAGCAAGGCAGCCAATATAGCTGTAGAGACAAGGAACCTGAGGCAGAAAGAGGGAAAATGACTCACCGAGGTCACCCAGTCAGAATCAGTCAGGATGTGCACCCAGAGGTCCTGATTCTACATCCAGGGTTCGTCTATGACATTAAGTTGTACTCTAGGTTATTCAAGCTGGAAGGGACCTCAGAGATCTTCTAGTCCAGAGGTTCCCAAACTTATTTGTCCTGCCACCCCCTTTTCAAAGGAAAAATTACTCAGTGTCTCCCTGGAAATCTACTTTTTTTACCCCTTTTAACCTTTTTAAAAATTTGTGTCATTTCAAAAAAATATATAAAATATGTATTTTAAAATTATACATTTTAATTTAATAATTTGTGCTAAATTTGTGGTTTTTTCCTGCATTGAAAATTTGAAAACATAATATTCCATCATGTAACCATATAGTCTGCATTGTAAACAATTCATTACATACACGTATTCCTGCCTATGCATGCAGGACTTTCCGACAACGTGTGACACACTTGTCTACCAACACTTGCTTAAGATCTGTCAGCGTACTTGACCACTGATCTATTATAACTTGCATCTTGTGTGTTTATTTGGAAAATAATGTAATCACTATGACTTTAACTCTGTTACACAACAGATGAAATATGTACAAATGGTTTTCCAATTTTTTCTTCTCTTCTGTCCTTATGCTTCCATGGCTGCCTTATTTTTGTTCAATGCCCCTCACCCCCAATTATATCTGAGGCTACTACCAACCCCATGGATCATTCCAGCACTGCCCAGGGAGCAGCATTGCCCAATTTGAGAAGCTATGGACCTGGCGCAATCTTCTTCTTCTTCTTTTTTTTTTTTTTTTTTAGGTAACTGGGCTAAGTGACTTGCCCAGGATCACACAGCTACTAAGTGTCAAGTGTTTGGTCTGAGGCTGGATTTGAACTGAGGTCCTCCAGACTTCAGTGCTGGTGCTCTATCCACTGTGCCACCTAGCTGCCCTCAATCCTCTCCTTTTACAGAAGAGGAAACTGAGACCCACAAAAAGTAAAAGACTAGATCAAGGTCTAATATGTATTCTTCCATCCAGAGATTGTATTTTAATAGAGGAGCCTTTATTGTTCAGTTATTTTTCAGTTGTATCCAGCTCTTCATGACCCCATTTAGGTTTTTCTTTACAAAGATGGTGGAATATTGATCATTTCCTCCTCCAGCTCATTTTACAGATGAGGGAACTGAGGCACACATCCATTAAGTGTCTGAGTCTGGATTTGAGTCTGAGTCCTGATTTCAAGCCCAGTGCCCCAGAGGAGTCTGAAAGATTCCCTCTTAAAGACTAAAAACGTGACACTCAAAGGAGTGATTTTCTCAAGGTGGGGCCCATCTTGGCCTCATTGATTAAGGCTGATAGAGAGTTCTTTCTCAGCAGCCATATTTCCCAGTGCCCCTTTAAATCATACCATGTGGGTGCCAGGTGAATAGAGGGGAGAAGCACAGGCTCTTGGGGAAGGATGCGTTGGCTGGGCAGGACCAGTGAGAGGAGGAGCCTGACTCCCATGCGATCTCTTCTGGGTTTCTTGCAGGGTTTGTTATTGGTGCTGGTCCTTGGCTGGATCTTTGTCCCCATTTACATCAAGGCCGGGGTGAGTGAGTACCCAAATCCTGCATCATCAATTCTCCACACCACACACTTGAAAGGTGTTGTTTTATCTTCTTAATTTCATAAGTGAGGAAACTGAGGCCCAGAGAGGTCAAATTACTTACTCAAGGTTACATGAGTGGCAGGACTTGAACCGAGGTCCCTGGCTCCAAATCCCACTTTGGGATGGTGCCTTCAAACTGTAGCTTTAGGAGAATGGTATTAGCTGGGCTTCTGACACAATGCTTCAGAAAGATCCCTATTTCCCCAATCCTACTGCTCAGTGTTCCCATGATGCTTTGTGGTGCAGTGTGACTCTTGCTTCTTCCTACCTGTTCAGGTGGTGACCATGCCTGAGTACCTGATGAAGAGATTTGGAGGGAAGAGGATTCAGATCTTTTTTTCTGTTCTTTCCCTGTTCTTAAGTGTAGTCATATATATCTCGGTGAGTCCATCTTACCCATGTATTTTGGTAGAATGTAGGTTCCCGGGGGACAGGTGCTGACTCCTTTTAGTCTCTTTCTCTACATTGCCTAGCACAGCTCCTGGCACAGAGTATGTGCTTGGTAAATGTTTGTTGAATTGAATTTGGGGACTGCTACCAAATGTAGAAAGCCTGGTATGAGAGAGCTGGGAGCTGCCATTGGGTATCTTTAAAATGTAGGTGGTCGGGCATGTGAGCTTAATAGAAAGAATAATGCTAATAAAAGGAAGGAGGAGCTGTCTCTGGTGCTAGAACAGAGAATCAGGGGGCTGGCTTGTTGATGGATTGGATAATTGAATCTGGTGGGTTCTGTGATCTCTCACAATGTAAGCAGCCCTCAAGATAGCACTGAGGTATTAGCACTGAGGCCAGAAAAACAGTGGAGCTAGCTGCAGGTGAGCAGCATGTGGACCCTTTTGGGTGTCTGTGGGGTTGCAACTGGCATATTTGAGGAGGAAGAGCTACTGATTACTGCTGGGGAACAGGAAGGGTGGTCAACACCTTTTTATCTTACAGTGGATTCCATTGGCTTGAGAGGAAGAATCGTGGGATCATAGAAGTATATAGATTTGGAAGGTACCATAGAGATGATCTAGCCCAGTCTACTTATTTTACAGATAGGGAAACTGAGGACTAGAAAGGCTCAGAACTTTCCCAAAGTTACACAAGCAGCAAATAACAGTTAGGTTTTGATTTCATGTTCCCAAACACATATTCCAAGGCTCTTCCCACTAAACAACACTGCCCTCTGAGGGCTCCAGGAGAACACTGTTGGATTTACTGAACCCATTATGTGAGTTTCCCAGAATGATCTCTCAGGTGCCCTTTCAGGTTAAAAATGCTATGATTCTTGGAAAACTATCTCCTTTATCTGTTTCTAATGTCAAGCTCTCAGGCCATGTATATGTCTCGCTCTTCTCAAGAAAAATAACTGGTCCAGACTTTTGCTGTCTAGCTATGTCAGGCTGCCCATGACCAAGCCACAGCCTGAAGGCATGATGCTTCCCAAACCCAGTTCAAGTAGTAGTCAATGAGCCCTATCTTCCAAAGCAAGCTGTATGAACTTGGGCCAGTCTTTTCGTCTCCTAATACTTCAGTTTCTCTCTGTCAAATAAGGGGGTTGAAATAGAGCAGCAATTCTCAAAGTGTAGTGTGGGTACCCCTGTGGGGTCCTAAAAACTCATAAAGGAAGTCCATGAGGCCAAAAGTGTTTACTTTATATCAACTACATGGCCCAGTAAATAGAGCACTAGCCCTGGAGTCTGTAAACCACTTTGGAGTTTTCTTGGCAAAGATAGTGGAGTGGTTTGCTATTTCCTTCCCAGATCATTTTACAGATGAAGAAACTGAGGCAAACAGGGTTAAGTGATTTGCCCAGGGTCACACAACTAGGAAGTGTCTGAAGTCTGATTTGAACTCAGGAATATGAGTCTTCCTGACTCCAGGGCCAGCACTCTATCCACTGCACCACTTAGCTACTCTTATCTGGAAGAGCTGAGTTCAAATTCAGCCTCAGACACTAGCTATGTGACCTCAGGTAAGTCACTTAACTTCTGCCTCAGTTTCCCCAATTTATAAAATGGAGATCATAGTGGCATCTAACTCACAGAGTTGTCATGAGGATCAAATGCAATATTATTTGTAAAGATAGCATAGTATTTGGCCCATTTTGTGGTTGTTGTATTGTCGATGAGCTGTGGCTGACTTTTCATGATCCCATTTGGGGTTTTCTTGGCAGAGATACTGAAGTGGTTTTCTATTTCCTTCTTCAACTCATTTTATAGATGAGGAAACTGAGGCAATTAGGGTTGAGCGACTTGCCCAGGGTCATACATCCAGGAAGTGTCTGAGGCCATATTTGAATTCAGGTCCTCCTGATTTCAAGGCCAGCTCTCTAAGCCTCCTAGCTGTCCTTGTTTGCCCTATAGTAAGTACTTAATAAATGCTTGTTCCCTTCATCATGATAAGATGTTTCTATTACTAATATGATAAACATTAGTAAACATAAGTCATATAAACAAAAGCTCTTCGGGAAGTTCTCAGTAATTTTGAAGAGTGTAAATTGTCCTGAGACCAAAGTTTGAGAACCTCTGGTTCAGATTTTATCTAAGGTCCCTTGGGTTCAGACATCCTATCTTGAGTTTGTAAGCACTGCACCAGATACAACTAGGGGCAAAGTTGGGTATCTTAGGAGTTTCCACAAATAATAAGGCACAGCTTTTATTCCAGTGAGGAAGCTAGGACTAAGGTCCCTTTCATCTCTGACAATCTAAGAGTCTGTAAATGCCTAAACACATGGTCTAGACAGTAAGGGGAGACCCAAATAGTAGCCGAAGGCTTCTTGGAGGATGAACTGTCCACCAGAAGAATTTTGATTTCCTCTCCTAGACTGGAAATAAATGTTGGAAGTTGCAAAGAAAGATAGATTTTGGCTATGTGAAGAAAAACTTCCTAATAGAGCTGTCCAAAAGTGGAATGGGTGTCCTTGCCCCTCAGATTCCATATCAAGGCATAGCTCAGCTGTCACCTCCTCCACAAAGTTTTCTTTGATTTCTCCCTCAAATATTCCCAGTATACTTTGCTTGGATCTCTTGTTTGCCCACACCTCAAACTGTGCTTGCGCATGGCCTGCCTCCCCAATAGACTGAAGATGAGAACTCTTTCATTTTAGTCTTTGGATCCCAAGAGCTGAACACACAGTAGGTACTTAATAAATGTCAATTAAGTTGAATAGAAAAATGGGCTCTCTGTCCCTGGAGGTCTTGGACTACTTGCTGGAGTTGTCATAGTGGGGATCCTTAGTCAGTACGTGTCAGTCAGCCAACATGCATTTATTAAGTGCCTACTATGTGCCAGGTATTGTGGTAAGTCCAAGTTGGAGTAGACAGCCTCTGAGGTCCCTTCCAACTGCAGGAGCCTGTGTTTCTGTTGCTAGAGGGTAGAGGCTCTCTGTCCTTTCCCTTGGTTAGACCTAGGGTACTGTGTTCAGTTCTTAGTACCATAATTTATGAAAGACTTCAATAGACTGCAGATTGTCCAGAGGAGTATAAGCAGCATGAAAACAGTCAGAAGATCATAGGGCTGGGAATGTCTCTGAGGGGAAAATCAAAGACAGCTTAATGGGAAAGGTGGCATCCAAGCTAAATGTTGGCAGATAATATGAGTGGCAAGGCAACCCATTCCAGTTTTGGATGCCTTTGGTTATTAGGAAGCTTTTCCTTACATTGAGCCAAAATTTGGCTGTCTTTACAACCTCTGGCATTTCCTTCCAGTCAAGTCAAAGAAATCAGATTACTCATTCTGAGTAACTTCAATTGGCAGTCTTCTTGACTGGGCAGACAACTGCATAAAGCACATGTCTGGGTATTTGTAGACTCATAGAATGTCAGAGTTGAAAGGCGATCTGGCACAATCCCCTTATTTTACAGATGGGGAAAAGGAGGTCTAGAGAGGCCAAATGACTTCCTCTTTGTCCCACAGCTAGTCAGAGCTTAAGGGATTTTGAAGGCAATCTATTTCAATCTTCTTGCATTACAAAAGAGCAAGGGTAAGAAGGCAGAAATAGCAGAGTCAAGACACCCTAGGGAAGTGATAGCCCCAGTCACAGGCATCCAGGGTATGTGCTGGGCACTCAGACTACACAGACAGAAATGAAGCAATGCTGTCCCTCACAGAACTTAGGTTCTATCAGAGGAAATAATGAGTACACTCATTTGACAGCAGAAGAAGCACTAGCCTTGTTCAGCTTGGCCTAGTGGGCAGAAGAAGGAAGAATGGGAGAAAGTTACAGAGAGGCAGATGCTGGTGTGATAGAGGAAATAACTGCTTAATAGTTAGAGGTATCCCAAAGGGGAATGGGGTGTCTTCAGGCAGAACCTAGAGGAGCACATGGAGGGTCCATTGAAATGGGAGTTCACATTCAGATATGGCATGGGGCTGTCAAACTTCTTGGCACTGTGGTCAGTCTGGTGAAGCCTTGGGAACCCTTCTCAGACTCAGCTTGTGCAATGCATAACATGAAATGCTTACAGTTACAAAGGAAACTCATCTATCCATCTACCTACCTACCTACCTACCTACCTACCTATCTCTCTATCTCTCTATCATTCATGGATTCAAGATTAAAACCCCCTGGTTTATGGGTAGAACTCAGGGGCTGCTGAGGTCCCATGAATTCTTGCTCTCTGGAATTCTGGGCAGAGGTGGGCCTTGAAACAGATTCTTCAGCACAGGTGGTAGAATTTGAGTAGGGAGAGAGGGGAGAGCAAAGGAGGACATTCTGATAAAAGTTGTGCCTCTTGGCACAAAGGATAAGGTGGTCCTCTGAAGCCACTTCCACTTTGGGGCTAAACAGCATGAGTAAAGGTGTGGAGGTGAGAGTGAGCTGGGGCTGGGAAGGTGCTTGGTCTTCCTGGGGCTGAGGGTTCATAGTGGGGAGGAAGAGTGATAAAAGTTGATGGCAGGTAAGGCCAGGTTGTGGGAGGCCTTGAATGGCAGCTCCCCACTGATAATGTTGGAGTGACAACCACATATATGGAAGTTCACCCTTGCCTCAGCTTTTGGTGAGATGTTTATAATAGCTATTAATCTCAAAGACCCGACCTTTTGTTCACTTATTTTCTGCTGTGGGTGATAAGAGATTCTCCTCAGGTTATTAATTAAGCCTCAAATTCCAATGTGACTCTAACCTTTTCACAGCATCATCCTAGAGCTGGCAAATACCTAAGAGTCCACTGGGTCCTGTCCTTTCACAGATGAGGAAAAAGGTCCAGAGTAGGAAAGTTACTTACGCAAGGTCCCATAGAGAAAGCAGAATAAAAGGAGGTGTTATTTGGGAGTGCACATGGAATGGTGAAGACAATATACCAGAGCCCTTGAGCTTGGGGCCCAAAGACTTAAATCCTGCATTCTTGACCCTGTCATTCACTGGCTGTATGACCTTGGCCAAGTCACTTTATATC